TTATTAGTAAACACCTTCTCATATGTAACAATTATTAGTAAACACCTTATATATGTAACAATTATTAGTAAACACCTTCTCATATGTAACAATTATTAGTAAACACCTTATATATGTAACAATTATTAGTAAACACCTTATATATGTAACAACTCTTAGTAAACCCCTCATATATGTAACAACTCTTAGTAAACCCCTCATATGTAACAATTATTAGTAAACACCTTATATATGTAACAATTATTAGTAAACACCTTATATATATATAACAACTCTTATTAAAACCCTCATATATGTAACAGTTATTAGTAAATGCCTCACATATGTAACAATTCTTTGTAAACACCTTATATATGTAACAATTAGTGAACATGTCATATGTAACAATTCGTAGTATGTGTATGTGTGTGTGTGTGTGTGTGTATATATATACTGTATATACACATTTACTTATTTATTTATTTATATACTTTATATTTTAGAGAAAATTAAAGTGCATCTTAAATGTTTGATTACAACATTCATGGAGAAAGGTGATATTTCTGATTATCCCACTGTGATTTTACTCTGAAATTGCAGGACATGTTCGGATTAGAAAAGTGGCTTTTTTTCTTGGTGTCAGACTAAATTCCATTCATTTTGGAAATCATGCAACATTTCTGATGTTCCCAGCAGCTCAGAAACATTTGCTCCTTTTTTCTTCTTTGGCACCTTAAGAGTTGTGATGTTTTGCTTCTTTTCTGCAGAGAAGCAATCCATTGCTGTGCTGCTAATTAGAAATCATAAAACAGCCCTGGCTTCCAGCCGCTATARTATTGATCAGCCATTAGCAGTGCCACACCAGATCTGCCCTCTAACACAATCTGTCATTATGTATTCACCACCACAGCTACTCTGAGTTCAGTAATTGCCTGATTTCGAGAAATATTACCAGAGTGTCAAAAAGTGACGTCAGACTTCGGGACTTTACTCTAACGTCTGTGTGATTGTTTTTGAATCTTCCACACATGGATTGATAGATTTTTTTTTTAATTTTATTTTACAGCTTGTTTCAGCAGCCCTGTTTCATCCCCAAGATTCCGTTTTATTCAGATTCTCTGCCTTCTGTCTCCGTCTCAGTGCCTACTCGTTCCACGTGAGCGCCGACGGTCAGATGCAGCCGGTGCCGTTTCCCCCCGACGCCCTGCTCGGTCCGGGAATCCCGCGTCACGCCCGTCAGATCCACACATTGAGCCACGGCGAGGTGGTGTGCGCCGTCACCATCAGCACCTCCACGCGCCACGTTTACACCGGAGGCAAGGGCTGCGTCAAGGTGTGGGACATCAGCCAACCAGGAAGCAAGAGTCCCATGGCCCAGCTGGACTGTCTGGTGAGACGGGTCGGAGCCCGGAGGCTGTCGTTTCCTAACCGGAGACGCTAATCTTATAATCGAGTTCTTTGTTTCTGTCTTCCTGGTCCGATCAGAACAGGGATAACTACATCCGCTCTTGCAAGCTGCTCTCTGACGGGCGAACCCTGATCGTCGGCGGCGAGGCCAGCACGCTGTCCATCTGGGATTTGGCCACGCCCACACCACGCATCAAGGCGGAGCTAACGTCGTCCGCTCCGGCCTGCTACGCCCTGGCCATCTCTCCCGACAACAAGGTCTGCTTCTCCTGCTGCAGCGACGGAAACATCGTGGTCTGGGACCTCCACAACCAGACGCTGGTCAGGTGAGAGGACAACAAATCATAAAAGTGGAGGGAAATAAAACGAGCAACAGTAGATGAAATATGAACAAAGAGAAGAACAAACTTATAACCAAAATACTGAGGATTTGGGAAGTATGTATGTATGTATGTATGTATGTATGTATGTATGTATGTATGTATGT